AACGGTTCTAAAACTTTCAAAGAAAAAAAAACATCTTAGAGTATTCTTTAACGATTTTTTTGGCTAATAATACTAAAATTATCCATTTACTAAGTAAGGGAAAATAATTTTAAAGAATTGGTCTGTGTGTTGACAAAAATAAAGTTCGAGAAAATATTCTCTGCAAAGTCAACCTACGTGTTTCTATGTTACCTCGTGTGTTTACGAGTGTATTATTGTTGTTAATGTTGTTCATAATTTTGAGACGACGTTTGACGAGTGGGGTGGGGGTCAGAAACAAACTTTTGAATAGTAATTGTAGAAAATCAAATTTTTTACGTCAATTTAACTTTTCTAATAGACTGTTTTGTAAAATGTAATAGACACTAAATATTATATTTAAGAAAACGGAATAAAACAAAAAAAAATTTGGAGGGGTGATGTATATCGAGAAGTGATGTCATTTTAGTGGCGTAGGTCTGGATTTTGTGTTTGACTAAATGTCACGATAGGGACAGGTGAGGTAACTGTGATAGATTGTAATCACTGACGAGGAGCCACATTGGTTGTTAACAGTCTTTATTTACAGCCATTAAGGAAAGAGAAAGAGGAAGTACGATACACAAGGGACATCACTCAAGATAACAATATAAATATAATACTAATACAGAAGAGTGAGTTCCCTTGACCTCACAATTATCTCAATCTATTACATCCCTTTACCCTTAGAACACAATAACACATCTCTCAATAGAACAATTGATAGTATCCTAAAATCACCAATTATATTGTAACATGAACACTATGGTAGATTACATCCTTACAAACAATGCACAATATGCTACAACATAATCAAGATACAAAACAATGATGTCAAAGTCCTTTTGACCTTTAAAATCATAGGTCTAACTTATTTGGGACTTTGATTGTCCTGCTTGACCTTCTCAGTGGTTTTTGATTTGGTGACTCAAGATTCTGACCATCAGGATTCTCTATCTCAGGAGGTCTAGGATTTAAATCATTAACTCCAGAATTTACATTTTCTGACTCTAGACAACTTGGTTCACTCATATCAACAGAACTTGGTTGTGGAACAAACTGAGTTGGTGTGAACTGTTCAGATTTGGTGGGATTGACAGATTCACACTTATTATCTGCACAAGTTATTTTTAACTGGTCTGCATGTCTACGGACAATAAGTCCATCATTTGTTTTTACTTTATAAGACACAGGTCCTGTACATTGAACAATTTGACCTGGTATCCATTTTTCCTTTCTCCCATAATTTCTTAGATACCATTATCATTAACACCAAATTCTCTTTCAATGAATGTTTGTCATGATTTAAATTTTAATGGAACTATTTTTGAATTGGCATCTGGAAGTATTATGCTGTTATTCAGATCCTTGACTGACATAGATTTCTTTGATTGATCAATTTCCTCAGGTAATCTGATAGTGCTTTTTGGTAACCAAAAATACTGTTTAAAAGTAATATCCTGGACCATATCACTTTGCCACTGTGATCCAGTATTTGAAATGGGTGTATTAAATGGCAAAAATCTTTTTCTTCTTTTGATGTTACCCTTTTAGTTTCTGTAAGTGCTAATGATGTTAGCAAAGTTGTTTGATGATCACATTCCTTCTTACTAATGTATTCTCTTTGAAACATTTGAAATTGCCATATCACCATAATCATTTATTAAGTTACAAATACTTTGTTTAGGCAACTCTGACTGATAATGGACTGCATCTTCTCCATCTTTTATATTATCTTCACAAAGGTTTTTATTTCTTATTTAATATGGCCTTAAGTCATCATTCACAGACTCTTCAGGCCAACCATTCTTACAGTACTCATATACTTTTATTAAGCACTCATCTTTTTGTGTTTCTCTTTTAATATCATTCACATTTATATTGGAGTTATCCATGATAGTGAAGAGAACAAATACATCTTCTGGTACATAGCTCAGGCTTTGGTTTTTTAAAGGTAATCTACTAAGACTATCTGCACTATTCTCAGATCCAGGTTTGTATTTCAATTCATAATTGTATGCAGTTAGTGTGATAGCCCATCTTTGAATTCTTGGTGAGGCATGCTCAGGTAGGGGTTTGTTTTCTCCAAATAAACCTAGCAATGGTTTATGATCTGTAAAGATGGTGAACTTCCTACCAAACAGAAACTTATGAAATTTCTTAACACCAAAAATGATGCCTAAGCCTTCCCTATCTAACTGAGAATAATTTTTCTCAGCCTGGTTCAAAGATCTACTGGCAAAAGCAATGGGTCTGTCACCCTTCTCATCCATGTGGGACAAGACTGCTCCTACACCATCTGGTGAAGCATCACATGTTAATATAAGTCTTTTCCCTGGGTCATAGTGAGTTAGTAAGGTGTCAGCAGACAAAGCCTCTTTTGCTGTATTAAAAGCAGTATTTTGTTGTTTACCCCAGTGCCAAGTTGCATTTTTCTGTAGCAGCTTGTACAGTGGTGATAGTTTACCAGACAGATTCCCTATGAACTTTGCATAGTAATTTATCAAGCCCAAAAAAGCTCTTAGTTGTTGGGTATTTTCAGGTTTGGGTGCTTCTTTAATGGCTTTTGTTTTCTCAGGTTGAGGTCTGATACCTTGCTTGCTTAATATATAACCAAGAAAACTAATTTCTGTCAGCATGAATTGACATTTATCTTTGTTTATCTTTAAACCTTTTTCACCAACAATTTTCAATACTTTATCAAGTGTTTTAAGATGTTCAGTGTCATTCTTACCAGTTATGTACACATTGTCAAAGTACACACAAACATTTGGAATATCCTTAAAAATACTATCCATGACAGCTTGGAAAATTCCAGGGCTGGATGATATACCAAAACATAGTCTTTCATATTGGTAGAGTCCTTTATGTGTGTTTATTGTCGTATAGACTTTTGAATCTGGATGCAGTTCTAGTTGAGTGTAAGCATGACTAAAGTCTAATTCAGTGAATTTGTCTCCTCCTGCCAAATTCAAAGAAATTTCCTCAATGTTAGGAATAGGGTACCTATTTAGCTCTATTTGCTTATTCAGTGTAGTTTTATAATCTCCACAAATTCTTATAGAACCATCCTTCTTTAACACTGGCACAATGGGCGTTGCCCAATCGGAATAGTCTACCTTCTTTATGATGCCATTGGATTCCAATCTACTTAGCTCATTTTCAATTTTATTCCTCATTGCATAAGGTGGAACTCTAGCTTTGCAGTATCTTGGATTTGTATCTTTAATGCTTAACTTCACTGTTCTATCATTTAGTAATCCTGGATTACCAAAAACACATTTATTTTCAGATATTACTTTATCTAGTGAAGTAAGACTAGATTCTTTTACATTCTTCAATGAACAAATACTCTCCCAATTTAACTTAAGATCACTTAACCAGTTCCTACCTAGTAATGGTGGTCCATTTCCTTCAACCACAAGAAGAGGAAGTTTAACACTTTGACCATTATAACTTACATGAACCATACACTCTCCTATTACCGGAACGTTGTCACCAGTGTATGTTGTTAGACACTTGTGACATGGCTGTAGAGGCACTGATCCTCCTGTGACAGCGTCAAAATCCTTCTTTGTTATGACTGTTAGAGATGCTCCAGTGTCAAGTTGGAAGCTGATGCTCTTACCGTTGATATAAACTGGTACATTGATGGGAGCATGACTTATTGATTTCACAGAGAACAGGTTGAAATCCGGCTGCGAATCAGCATTTTTACAGGTAGAGTGGTTCATTGGTTGGGTTAGGTAGTCTTGGTGAGAGTTAACATAGTGCTGCTTTTGGTTGCGGTACTGTCTTGACTGGCTAGATTTAGCAACAGACGAAGACTTTGCAAAGCAGGCCTTGGCAATGTGACCTTGCTTACTGCACTTATAACAAGTTGCAGACTTGAACTTGCACCGATGAGATGCATGGGGACCTTTGCATCGATGACATTTTTGATAATTATTACTAGATTTAGATCTAGGATTTGAACGAGCAGGCTGTTTAGCATAAGTTGAAATGCTCTGATGGGGTTGATGTTTATTGACTAACCTGCTGTTTACTGCATGGATCCCTGAAGGCGTAAGAGATTTCGCCGCATCTGATGACTGCTGGAATAAAGTTGCAAGTTGTATTGCTTTTTCTAATGTTAGATCTGACTCGAGCAGCAACTTTCTTTGAATATCAGGGCTGTTTACACCTGTCACAAACTTTTCACATAGTCTGTCAGACAGCGTGTCGCCGAATTCACAGAATCTACTTAAATGACGTAGAGCAGCAACATATTCTGATATTGACTCGTTTGGTTGACGAGTCCTACTGTCAAATCTAGCTCGACATAGAAACTTTGATGGTGTAGGCGCATGGTGGTCTGTTAGCAATTTGCTCAGCTCGTTAAAGCTCTTGGTAGTTAGACTAGCTGGTGCGCATAAGTCCTTTAATAGCCTAAATTGTTGAGGCCCTATGACTGTTAACAAAACAGCTCTCTTTTTGGCTTCTATCGTCACGTTGTTAGCTTCTAGGTAAAAGCTTAACCTATCTAGGTAATCCTGAATGATTTCATCATTCGAATCAAATTGTTTTATTTGGCCATACAGCGCCATTATTCTAGAAATACTTAGCTAATAAGCTCTAGCAAACCTCTTTTTGCGTAATTAGGTGCTCTTTCTAGTGGATTATTTATCCTTCGTCGCCAATGTGTGATAGATTGTAATCACTGACGAGGAGCCACATTGGTTGTTAACAGTCTTTATTTACAGCCATTAAGGAAAGAGAAAGAGGAAGTACGATACACAAGGGACATCACTCAAGATAACAATATAAATATAATACTAATACAGAAGAGTGAGTTCCCTTGACCTCACAATTATCTCAATCTATTACAGTAACAATCGTCAAAAAAGCGGGACAAAAGCAGAGTATTGTGTTGATAATGTAACTATTCAAGTACTAAATCAGATGCCTTCAGACTGCCTATAACAAACGTGTGTAACCTCTGACCAACGAATTCTTATCTTGGCATTAGACAAGTACATCAACACTCATTAAGGGAGTTAAGCAGACTGACAGCGAAGATGAAACTGTTGCTTGTTTTAGTTGGTATTTGCACAATACTTGCCCTTGGTAAGTCGATGTTCTATAGTTCTTGTACCTGGTAAATAGATACCCTAAAGTACTTGCACTTGATAAGTCGATGTTCTATAGACTTTGCACTTGGTAGGTAGATATTATATAGTACTTGCACTTGAAAAGTAGATATTTATATTTATATTACTTGCACAATACATTAACTTTATTTATACCAATACGTGCACTAGTCAAGACAACGTTCTTAAGTTCTTGTGTTAGATTGTTCGATTTTGCTCTGTTTTTGTACTTTTCTTTCGCCGTTATTTAACTTTTCATTTAATGTTCTTGTACGGTTCTTTCCGTATTGTCTTATTGTTTTTGTATTGTTGTTGCATGTCATCTACGTCAGATGTGACATCTTTTGCATACCACTTTTGGCATTATGTGTATGAGATCATAGTTCAACCACCACGTTAACCCAACTTTTCTGTTAAAATATTACAGGTGATATTGTCTAGTTTTTGTTTACACTGGGGAAATTTTAAATACGTTTATCTTTAAATAGGCAAATAGCATAGGTTCATTTCAACACTGATACGTTCGTGTCAACTTCTCATACCCATAGTATCTTTGCGTGGAAAGTGTTAATACGAATACTTTTACGCTAAGGATTAGGGTTGGCAAATTAGGTTAATCGTTGGATCAACATCAAACAATGGTTAGAGTTAAGTTTAAGGTCGAATTATCATTACCAGATATACCACCTATTCAAAACAAAGGTACGACTAAACCTATTGTTGCTCTCTCTACCACCAGGGCATGCAGCATCTTTATTCACCTTTCGCCCACCCCCCAGCCAAGAACCTTGTAGCCAGCCGCTGACCGTTTGTGATGTTGACCCCTGCCTCGGACGTACCTGCCAATATTATCCTGCCATCTGCGTGCCCAACTATTGTGGTGGATGCAGTTCGAAGCTCTACTTCAATGGTTATGAAGTGAATGACCTCATGTGTTCAACACTCATTGTTGGGTAAAAACGTGTTCTTGCCTTCAGTTCATTAAAAAAACATGTACTGATTTCATGTGATTGTCTTCTTTTCTAAATATAGACAAAAGTTATACTAATTAATGTACATATTTATATTTAGTGTTTGAAATTTCAGTAGATGAAAATATGGCTTCACTAATAACATAATTCAGTCTTGTATATTAGTTGAAATTGAATTTATAGTAATTTATTTAAAACAAAACAGAGGGTGTCGCAGTAGCGGGTGGGGGGGGGGGGCTGAAAGGGCTGCAGTCAGGGCCCCGAGTTTTAGAGGCCCTCAAATTTACCGCTTAATTGTTGGTTTTCACTATAAAAACAAATGTTTTAATATTTGAATAACAAGATTAAATCAATTTTTTTTTCAAAATCTCAAACACGTGCACACACATAGGTAAAAATACCAGCTGTTGTCACGTCCTACCCAGACATTGTTTATTTAAAGCCGAAGCTCCCTAAAATAACATAGTCCGGACTAGCGTTGTTTATCACAACAAAATGAGTTAATTTTAGCAATAAAAACACAAACAGCAGCCGAATGGTAACCAATGAATGACCCATCGTTAAAAAAAAGTCACGAATTTAAGTTGGTTTTTTTTCGGTCAGATCGCAGTGTTAGCAAAAAATTTAAAGAAATAATACTGAAAACGCTCAACACTGTGACCTAGTTTTCACTCGCAAGCATTAAGACCACCTGCGTTATAGGCTAACCCTAGCAATTAATAATAAAAGTACTAATTATCTTTAAATTTGAGTTAAAATGACAAGCAATTTTATTTACCAAAGGCCAAAAATATGAGTTGTTCCCCATGAAAAAAACTCCCCGCCCCCCTTATGTTAACACTAGCTTTCGTCGCTTTCTGCTCGAAACTGTTTACTTAAAGCGATGTTGCTAACTAAGATAATATACATTTTATTTCGGTTGATTAACTAGTTTTAGGAAGTAAAACACTGAATCTTAACAAAATAGGCTAGAAAAAAATGTTTTATTTCATAATGTGAGTGTATGAGTGATCCATCTAATAGCTTACAAATGGCGCTTTAATCCCAACAAGAGGCGTAGCGACCCTTCCCTCTGCGCCCTGGGCAATCTTTCTATTTGGCGCCCCCCCCCCCGCTTATATATATAAATATATATATATATATATATATATATATATATATATATATATATATATATATATATATATATATATATATATATATATATATATGTTTATATATATATATATATACATTTCTATTTACATATATATATATATATATATATATGTGTGTAATCGTGTGTGTGTGCAATCGTGTGTGTAATGTATATAAACGTATATGTGTGAGTGTGTAAGCGTGTGTGTGTGTGTAAGCGTGTATGCGACAGTCCGGAAAAGGTTTATCAGTTACAGTGTATTATTTTCTTTTCTAAAACTGTACGCTAATTAAATTCCCTTTATGATGCGTATTCCTTTTACAAAGATTAGTAATGTCAGGAAAAAAATATGCTTGATCTGGGTTAGAGGGTGGTTTGTAGCCAGCGCTAATTTCTTTGGACCTGCCTTTAATGTTCTATTTTGATTTCTGTTGTAATATGGTACATAGTTGGATTATAAGTTTATTTAAATAAGGTTATACAAGTGACATACAAGAGCAACTTATCAGACACATTTAATGTACACATTTGAATAGGACATGGGTATTTCGTTTATTGGTTGATAGTATAACGAAATAAACCGGGAGTGATCTCCCCTAAACTTTCTCGAATATTCTTATATAACTGGGAATATAGACATGATTTTTAATTACTTAAACTTTTAAAAATATAATAGAATCTCATAGAAAAAATAACTGCGCACCAAGCGAACGCAAAATAAAATGTGCATAATAGTGCGCAATATTATTAGTACTTTTTAAATTTACATGTGTTTTTTGAGAAATCGGAAATAGCGTAAATTAGCCCTTCCGGTCGACGGAAATTACTCAAAATTTAACAGAAGGTAGAGAATTAGATCTTTTACTTACATGTAAAATTTCATTTATCTATCTGAAATAGTACTCAAGGTATAGGCTTTTGAAAAATTCAAAGTAAGAAAAGTACCACTTCCGGTTATCGGAAATCGCTCAAAAGTTGATACGGATCTACGATTTTGATAAAATACTTATATATGAAATTTCATCAACCTAGCTGTAACGGTACTCAAGTTATCGTGTTTACACACGGACACACAGACAGACAGACAGACACACAGACAGACACACAGACATACGGACAAGATTGCAAAATTATGTTTTTCCGTATCAGTGAGGTGTAAAACGTCGAGATTTGTAAAAATCTCGATTTTTTTTTTTTTTGCACGATTACAAGACTTTCTCTATACTTCGTATATACGATGAAACAAACTGGAATCTAGCGACTATTAACATCTCAAAGTCTTGGATTTCGCAGATGTGCGCTGCCTTCTCGCACACAGTCAACAACAAATGCATAACAAATGCATAACTAATAGTACTGATTAAAATAGCAGTAATAACCAATTTAATGATAGTGGCACCGCCCATGACGTTCTGATTATAATAAGCAGCGATAAAACGTGTTTAAACACTCTAAGACAATATGGAATTCAAATGCATTGTCAAAAAAATTCAATCAGGATCTATAGTTAAATGTGAAGTCTCTTTTACTGTATGGCACGGAGCTAGGTTAGTGACAGTGGAAAATGAAATAAGAGCATGGAAAAAGTGTTGGTTAGGGCACAATATCAGAAAGACAGTAAATAACATCACTAAGCAGGTGATGTAGTAAAGTCCACGGGTAAAGAGGAAAAGAAGGAGACAAAAAGTCATGAAAGAAATCGTTAGAACAGAGATGTGGGAGGCTGGATTATTAGGGTTCTATCTTCATAAAAGTCCAGTGAGTTGACGAAATGTTGCATACGCCTATGCTTCTATGTAAACCAAAATGAAGAAAAAAGAAGAAAATATCAAAAGAGTTTGAAGCACTGGTTCTTAACCCGGATTTGATCGAACCCAAGAGGTTCGGTATATAAGTCCCAGAGCTTCGGCTGAGGTCAAGACACACATCCGACTCATATGATTCACGATCAGATTTTCTCAATGTGGACGATAAAACTATTAAGAAGGGTTTGGTAAAGGCGCATATGAAACTGATGGGGTTCGGTACCCCCAGAAACGATAAGAGCTACTGCTTTAGAGTGTAGGTTGTATACGGATCAAGATTATTTGATTTACTTTTGGTTATGTCTTTAGAACAATTACGATAATAGTGTATTATAGTTTTAAATTATCAGTTAGGTTGAACAAAGTGACAAAGCATCAGCTGTTGTAGTATTGTACCATATTTTTTTACATCCTTTAGTAGGTCTAGTGGCCTTAACTATATAAAAATTACAGTATAAGGACTTGTTATGAAACAAGCAATAAAAAAATGATCTGTTCGGTACAATATACTTATGTTGTTTTTAGCTCTTGAAATTTCGGCAAGAGTATCGTCTTCCACCCACCCACTCCGACCGTATGCTATTTTACTGATCGGATAGCGATTCAAGAATCTCTTTAATACAGTGATCCAGGCAAGATGTATTGCTATCAAGTAAAAATATCTGATCTCTCATTTGAAGTTGAGAGAATCGTAACAATCTTACAAAGAACTAGTCGCGTCATTTCTTAACAAAACTGGCTAGTGAAATTATATTGGTTTCTTTTCTAAGTGTCAAAAGAGTTATCTACTCACCAATCCGGTACAAATACTTGAGAGTTTGGTTCGCGAAAAAAGCGCCTCCACCCCTCACACACAGATAGCTCATGTTGGATAAATTCGAAAAAAGTTTCGAGTTCAAACCCTCTGGAAGATAAGGCTCGATCCCTTCCAACACCAAAAATTAAGAACGAAGATGAAGGGCAAAGTTTGTAGAGCGGATTTCAACGTAATTAACTGTTTTAAACGTTACACAATCGTACAATTCACTTTAGTACAATAAGTTTCTTTTCTAAGTGATTAAGTTTATCTACTCACCAATCCAGTGTAATATTGTGATTTTATTTAGCCTAAAAGCGCCCCCCCCCCCCGAATCATCTTGATAAAAGTCACTAACGCATTTTAGGGTTAAAAACCATACAATACGCTTTAATACAATTGTTTCCTTTTATAAGTGGTAACGTTCATCGACTCGCTGCCACCGCTTTTAATCTTTCGCATAACGTAAAGAAAATATTAAATACACGCAAATTTTTAAAACATATTAAACAAATCAATGTCAAATAATACTTTCGTTTAGATTCCTAGAAAAAGTGGATACATTTTAAATAAAATAGTGTTAAAAAAAACTAATTAATTAAAATATTTCTATGGTAATGCCAGGGGAGGTAATTTAAAAATAAACTCAACTCCCTCTCAATAATTTAAGGTATTTTTTTTATTACTAACACATTGCTTATTATACGATAAGGTTCATAATTAAAATAGATTAATGTTAAGATTATATTATTTTCTAATTAGGAAAGCAGGTTGTTCTGCGGTGCGTGAGAGCAAGTGTATAAACGGTCGTTTGTTTCATACAGCTATTTGATAAGGCGTTTAAGTTTATGTTTTCCTTTTATTTGTTTATGTTAGTGATTGGTATGTCTTTGCGATTTGCGTTGCGTTTGCGTGTGTTTTCTGTTGTGTTTCTTTTTGTGTTTCCGTTTGTGTTTGCGTTTTTTGGTGATTTGAGTTGTGTTTGCGATTTTGTTTGAGTTTGCGTTAAGTTTGTGTTTTCTTTTGTCTTTGTATTTGTCTTTGCGTTTGTAATTGCGTATTGCGTTTGCATTGTGTTTGTGTTTGTATTTTTTGTTTGTGTTTTTGTTTTCGTTTGTTTTCCTTTGTATTTGTGTTGGGTTTTTCCGTTGGTACATTTTAAAAAGATTCACCGTGGCGAAGCACGGGTATCCAGCTAGTATATATATATATATATATATATATATATATATATATATATATATATATATATATATATATATATATATATATATATATATATATATATATATATATATATATATACCTCTCGACATGACCGAATCAGGAAGACATAAACAGAGTAATTTGAACAAACATAATGAGATAGGTGACTTTTTACAAGCTTTTATTTAACTCACTTCCTCGTCAGTCTGTCGTCAGTCGTCAGTCTGTCTAGACGGAAACGCAGGAGTGAAAATTCGGACAGTTCTACTTGACCGACACGATTCACAGTTGGCACGTGGGTCAAGACATGAAGACAATGCAATCTGAAACTAAATTTGACTTAATTGGATGCCTAATTGATTTTTTATGAATTAATTAAAATTTGGACCGAATTAGTAGGCATGTCTAGCCAACCACACCACACGCGTCATCAATAGCTGCGCCATCACGACCACGTAATGGCTGCGTTCAAAAACCATTGCGCGCCGACTGAACGTGATATTCAGTAGGCGCGCAATGGTTTTTAGTCATGTAACTCTATTGTAGATAAAACATGTAAAGTACTGAAAAAAAATTCATAAAAAACGTTTTAATAACAAGCTTTTATGTAATGATGCACTAAAAAGTAGAAAATAAATTATAGACTACTATTTAAATAACTATAAAGAAAAGCGTGGGTGTCTTCCTTAACATTAGTAAAGGTATCCAATAGATACTAAAGTGACCCACGCTTTTCTTTATAGTTATTTAAATAGTAGTCTATAATTTATTTTCTACTTTTTAGTGCATCATTACATAAAAGCTTGTTATTAAAACGTTTTTTATGAATTTTTTTTTACAAGCTTTTATTTAACTCACTTCCTCTGTCGTAAGTCGTCAGTCGACAGTCTGTCGTCAGTCTAGACGGAAACGCAGGAGTGAAAATTCGGACAGTTCTACTTGACCGACACGATTCACAGTTGGCACGTGGGTCAAGACATGAAGACAATGCAATCTGAAACTAAATTTGACTTAATTGGATGCCTAATTGATTTTTTATGAATTAATTAAAATTTGGACCGAATTAGTAGGCATGTCTAGCCAACCACACCACACGCGTCATCAATAGCTGCGCCATCACGACCACGTAATGGCTGCGTTCAAAAACCATTGCTCGCCTACTGAACGTGATATTCAGTAGGCGCGCAATGGTTTTTAGTCATGTAACTCTATTGTAGATAAAACATGTAAAGTACTGAAAAAAAAATTCATAAAAAACGTTTTAATAACAAGCTTTTATGTAATGATGCACTAAAAAGTAGAAAATAAATTATAGACTACTATTTAAATAACTATAAAGAAAAGCGTGGGTGTCTTCCTTAACATTAGTAAAGGTATCCAATAGATACTAAAGTGACCCACGCTTTTCTTTATAGTTATTTAAATAGTAGTCTATAATTTATTTTCTACTTTTTAGTGCATCATTACATAAAAGCTTGTTATTAAAACGTTTTTTATGAATTTTTTTTTACATTTGAAACATTTGAAACTGAACACGAAAAAATAACAGCAGTTTAACTCTCATATCTTCCGACGGTTCTAAAACTTAAAAAAAAATCAACTTAGAATATTCTTTAATGATTGTTTTGGCTAATGATACTAAAATTATCCATTTACTAAGTAAGGGAAAATAATTTTGAAGAATTGGTCTGTGTGTTGAATTAAATAAAGTTCGAGAAAATATTCTCTGCAAAGTCAACTCATGTGATTCTATGTTACCTTATGTGTTTAGGCGTTGTATTATTGTTGTTTATGTTGTTCATAATTTTGTGACGACGTTTATCGAGGGGGGGGGAGGGGCAGAAAGTGTGACGACAAACTTTTAAATAGTAATTTTAGAAACTGTTTTTGCGGGGTGATGTATATCGAGAAGTGATGTCATTTTAGAGGGAAAGGTCTGGTTTTTTTGTGATATGTCACAATAAGGACAGGGGAGGTAACAATCGTCATAAAAGCTATAGGTCATTTAAGTAAGACCACTTTAAAATATTGTGTTGTTAATGTAACGGTGGATGTTCTAAATCAGATGCCTTCAGATTGCCTATAACAAACGTGTGTAACCTCTGACCAATGAATTCTTATCTTGGCATTAGACAAGTACATAAACACTCAGTAAGGGAGTTAATCAGACAGACAGCGAAGATGAAACTGATGCTTGTTTTAGTTGGTATTTGCACAATACTTGCCCTTGGTAAGTAAATATTCTATAGTACTTGTACTAGGTAAGTCAATGTTCTAGAGTACTTGTGCTGGGTAAGTCAATATTCTTTAGTACTTATACTAGGTAAGTCATGTTCAATAGTACTTGCATCATATAAGTCGATGTTCTACATTACTTACTCAATACTTAAACCATATCTATACAATACGTGCAATAGTCGACAATGTTCTAAAGTTCTTGTATTAGATTGTTCGATTTTGCTCTGTTATCGTACAGTTCTTTCAATGTTCTTCCTTTACTGTTCTTTCACTGTTCTTGTACTGTTATTGCATGCCGTCAACGTTAGACCTGACACCTTTACATGCCTGCTTTTAGCATAAGTATGAGATAATCGTTCCACGACCCATATTACGGTAACTCAAAAATTAGGTTGAAATATCCCAGGTGATAGTGTCTATCTAAAAATTCTAGTTTTACTAAGGGGTCTTCCATTTATGACGTCCATACGGAAAGGGGAGGGGGTGGGGTACGAAAACATTGACTTTCGTGGACACGTAAACGTCCAAATGTATTATTGAAGTGTTTACATTTTAAAACCAACATAAAACTCGTATCCTGTATGTAAAACGTGAAATTAAGACTACACTGCTCGTGTTTTAAAAAACCCATCGTAACGTGTAAGTAAAGCACTGGATTTATACCTACCCCGGGTTGTCAATATCATAAGCGATGTCACGATTTTTAAACTATTTTTACCTCCCCTTTTCCCTGAGTCCACTAATCTTCACTAAAAACCAGGACCCAACACCTGAAAGGACGTCAAACTTCAAACCTTTACCACATCTTTCAAGACTTATTTTAAAAAGTAAAACAATTTTTTTTTCTAAAATATTTACTGAGAGTGGTTAATGTTAAGTAGGTCTAGATTGATTTTTATTTAATTTTTTAAAAAAAAATTATCTACGTGAAGAAACGGCTTAAATTCGGTTTCTAACGGAGTGTGACGTCATTTATGGACGAACTCAAAAATAGCCCTTCTTTGGAGCGGGTAAGTAAACAGAAAGTAGACTGGTGAGGGGAGGCGGGGGGGGGGGGGTGTTGAGTAGAGGGGGTCTAAAAATTTTGCGGACGTCATAAATAGATGAGCCCTTACATCGGCCTAAATGTACATACGTTTACCTTAAAGTATCGAGTACTCACACTCCTAGTGTCATAGTATCGTTGTGTGGGAATCGTTGATATGAATAATTTTACTCTAAGGATTAGGGTTGGCCAATAAGGTTAATCGTGGAATCAAACAATGGTTGGAGTAAAAATTAAGGTAAAATTAACATTACCAGTTGAACCACCTATTCAAACATGCAGGTACGACTAAGCCTGTTATTTCTCTCTCTACCACCAGGGCATGCATCATGGTCTCTTTTCTCCCCTAACCCAATCCCCAGCCAAGAACCCTGTAGCCAGCCCCTGACCGTGTGTGCTAACCCCTGCATCGGACGTACCTGCAGATATGTTACATCTGCCGTCTGCGTGCCAGATTACTGTGGTGGATGCAACTACAAGTTCTATATGAATGGTATTCTAATAAATGACGACGTATGTTCACTACTCATTGTTGGGTAATCACGTGTTCTTGCCTCAGTTCATTAAACAAACATGAGCTAATTTCATGTGATTGTTTTCTTTTGTGAGAAATGTTAGCCTATGTAGATCTACAAAAGTTATATTAATTAATGTACACACACACACACACATATATATATATATATATATACATATATATATATATATATATATATATATATATATATATATATATATATATATATATATATATATATATATATTATATATATATATATATATATATATATATATATATCAGTAGATGAAAAATAATGCTTTAATTATGAAAAAATTTTTTATTAGTTTTGATTGAATGCATGGTAATTTATTTAACACAAGCCAGAGGGTGTCGTCCATAATAGATGACGATTTCTGAGAATGTAGAGTTTCGGACTATTGTAAGTATGTAAGACGATGGAGGGGGGCATCGGAGTAAAGTGGGGTAACCTTTTAAAAAGTTTAACTCCTTGTATGAGTAACCCCTTAAGTCTTTATATGACAGCATGTAAAATAAACCGGGAGTGATCTCCCTTAAACTTTCTCGAATATTCTTATATAAAACAACAGGGGATGGGAACTCCATTTTAAATACTTAAAGTTTTTAAAATAGAATAAAATCTCGTAGAAAAAAGAATTGCACACCAAGTGAACGCCAAATGAATGTGCATAATAGTGCGCAATATTATTAGTTCTTTATAAATTTAGATGCGTTTTTTGAGAAATCGGAAATAGCGTAAATTAGTACTTCCGTTCAACGGAAATTACTCAAAATTTAACAGAAGGTAGAGAATTAGATCTTTTACTTACATGTGAAATTGCATTTATCTATCTGAAATAGTACTCAAGTTATAGGCTTTTGAAAATTTCAAAGTAGAAAAAGTACCACTTTCGGTTATCGGAAATCGCTCAAAAGTTGATTAGGATCTACGATTTTGATAAAATACTTATATATGAAATTTCATCAACCTAGCTGTAACGGTACTCAAGTTATCGTGTTTACACACAGACAGACAGTCAGACATACACACACAGACAGACACACAGACATACGGACAAGATTGTAAAATTATGTTTTTCCGTATCAGTGAGGTGTAAAACCTCGAGATTTGTAAAAATCTCGATTTTTTTTTTGCACGATTACAAGACTTTCTCTATACTTCGTATAAACGAGAAAGTAAAAATGATCTATTCGGTAGCTTCCGCCCACCCACTCCGAACGTATGCTATTTTACTGATCGGGTAGCGACTCAAGACTATGGCAAGGATATGGCAACCATATTTTCAGAAGAGTCTCTGGTACATCCAAACATTTTTCCTTAAGTACCCTAACTTATACATACACAAATAAATGAAAAAAAATCATAAAAAACGTTTTAATAACAAGCTTTTATGTTATAATGCACTAAAAAGTAGAAAATAAATTATAGACTACTACTTAAATAACTATAAAGAAAAGCGTGGGTCACTTTAGTATCTATTGGATACCTTTACTAATGTTAAGGAAGACACTCACGCTTTTCTTTCTAGTTATTTAAACAGTAGTCTATAATTTATTTTCTACTTTTTAGTGCATTATTATATAAAAGCTTGTTATTAAAACGTTTTTTATGAATTTTTTGTTCAGTACTTTACATGTTTTATTTACAATAGAGTTACATGACTAAAAACAATTGCGCGCCTACTAAACGTGATGTCGCGCCTACTGAACGTGATGGCGCAGCTATTGAACGTGATGACGCGTGTGGTGTGGTTGGCTAAGCATGCCTACTAATTCGGTCCACATTTTAATTAATTTGTAACCCTCACTCAGTGGGGATGCTTTTACCCACTGAGGTGTTGTGGTTAAGACGGGCTGACCCTGAGATTAAGTACACACCGACGCCGACAGTTGTTGTCAAGTACTCGTTTATTTATAGCATCGAGCCATGACGGCGATGCAACACAGTACAAAACGAACTAGCCAAGATAGACCAAAAGATCCAAACAATCCAAAAGACCAAAAGATCAAAAGATCAAAAGATCAAAAGATCAAAATAGAAACAGAAAACTGTAGCCCTAAAACAAATGTAAAATAAAAAAGTTACATTCAGGACAACACCACGTGTAAGCTACAATATACACGGGTACAATACATTATGTTTTCGGCCAGTACACAGTACTGCCAACAAGTACCAATAAGTAGTACTACAAAATAAATACTTAATTTAATACATCACCCTAACTAGTGTGCACATGCAGCACTAGCAGGAATACATAAGTAAGTATTTTAACAACATAATTTAAATATCTACACTACCTTCATTAGGTCTACATCTTGGTCCACAGACAGCAGCCTTGCGTGTGCGACACGACTAGGCACATGTCACATGACATGGAACACAGGTAATTTCGCTCACAAAAGCATAAAAAAACGTCAACAGTTCAGTTGCAGTCCCACAGGGGCCGCAACCCAATGAATAAAAACTTCATAGTTTTATCCCCCTTTGGCTAGTAACCATATGTGTTACACAGCCCCCCTCACAAATAAATGTACAATGGAATTCACATTTACATTTACATTTACACTCATACATAATAGTACTAAAAAAAGTTCAGTACACTAGTACACAGACATTAAGTCCTTTCACTTAAATAGATTATTCCCGGCAAACCGGTAGAGGCTCCAGTGCAGGTACTGGTCACCACTTGATGCGCCAGGTTGAGTCGCTCGACGGGTCGTCGTTGACGGGTTGACCTCCGCAGCTCCACTGGTGGTTCTGGGTTGATCAAAGAGTCACCCTCGTCCGATGCCTCGTCCCTCGCATTCACCTCATCCAGATGTGGGGCTGGCCTGACCATCTCCTTTTCTTGTCCGTCCTGGGCGACCACCTCGGGCACGAAAGGCGTTGCCTCCGGCCGAAGTCTAGTTGGGACCACATTGACTGCCAGTTCCTCCTCTTCATCTGCCTCCCGGGTTGGTATGACCTCTTTCCGTCGTTGTTCTTGCCGCCGTCTCTCTTCTTCTGCCAATTTTATGCCAGCATCCATATCTAGCATTCCAACCGGCAATAGGAAGTTCCGATGCAATGTCCGACACTGCCCTTTTCCTGTCTCCTCCTGCACAGTGTACACTGGCACGTCATCCGCTCTATCCACTACCACATAGATCTCTGCCTCCCACTTGTCGCTGATTTTTGACGTGACTCTAGGGCCCAAACGGCGAACTAAGCACCGATCTCCAACCTCCAGCTCAGCAGCGTGGGCTGAAATGTCGTATCTGACCTTGTTCCGGTCAGCCGCTCTGGCCATGTTCTCGGCTGCTCGTCCATAGGCCGACTTCAGTTGGGTTTTTAGGCTTTGTATATACTGCGTCGGTGTTCCCTGTTTCTTTCTTCCCACATCAATCCCGAAAGCTAAATCGATGGGCAGCCTAGGATGACGACCGAAGAAGAGGAAATATGGACTGTAGCCTGTGCTTGAATGGATACAGCTATTGTACGCATGTACAACGGCCGGCAGTTTTTTCCTCCACGTCGCCTTCTCGTCCTCCTCAAGGCTTCGGATCATGTTTAGCAACGTCCTGTTCCACCTTTCTACTGGATTTCCTGCGGGATGGTAGGGTGTGGTCCGACACTTGCGAATACCCGCCATTTCACACAGGTTTTTCACAATTTTAGCTTCGAAATCCCTCCCCTGATCGGTGAGGATTCTCTTTGGAAAACCGTACGTCATGAAAAAATCATGCCACAGTGTCCGAGCTACCGTTTTCGCCGTCTGGTCTTTGGTGCACACTGCCACTGCAAACTTTGTAAAGTGGTCTAGAATCACTAGAACATTTTGTTTGTGACCTTCTGCTTCAATAGTTAGATAATCTATTGAAAGCAGTTCTAACGGAAACGAAGTGGTTATTGTTTCCATCTGTGCTTTCTGAACTGGTGCACCCCTCCTAAGACATCTCCCACATTTCTTGATCTTCCTTTCAAGGTCTCGGAACATATGTGGCCAGTAAAACCGCATTCGAGCATGTTTAATCGCATCATCCAGGTGGGTATGAAATAGATCTTCATGTACACCTTGCATTGCTTCTTTCCGATGTGACCTTGGGATAACTAATTGAAATCTACTTCCTAATTCATCATCTGCTACTTTGCGATATAGGACTCCATCTTTCATTACTAATTTCTTTTGTTCCCTGACAAATGCTCTTTCCTCTGGAGTGCCGTCTGCTGACATTTCTAACTTGCCTCCTTCTCTACATGTTTAATGACCCACGCAATGATAGTATCGGCCAACTGATGACTCCTCCACTCTTGTATAGAAATGGAGTGGTAATTCCCGTCTGACTGTTCTAAGATATCATCTCTGATGGCTGACGGATCCTTTACCACCTGTTCGACAGCCGGTATGTACGTGATACCTTCCCCGTTAGTTCTCATATCCGTTGAGAAATTCGATTGGCTCTCGCCACCCTTGGCTGCAATTATGGCTGATACTAGATGTGTGCCGATGTGAATCGACTCGGCAGCTTGCAACTCAAACTTTTCCGCCTTGTCCCTCAAAAATTTTGTGTCTTCGAGCAAAACTTGAAATTGCTCATCCTCCTCTGCCGGCTCGTCCTGGTGCCGTCTGGACAATAAATCGGCATCTACATGAGTCGACCCTTTTTTGTACTGCAGGTCAAAGTCATAGATCGACAGAGACGCCAGCCAGCGATGACTTGTAGCATCCAGTTTGGCATTCCGAAGAATGTAGCACAGGGGATTATTGTCTGTGACCACCTTGATTTGTGAGCCAACGATATAGTCATGGAACTTCTCAGTCATCGCCCACTTAAGAGCTAGAAACTCTCGTTTGTGGGCCGGGTAGTTGCGTTCTGTCTTGTTCAGAGATCTGCTAGCATAAGCAATCACCCGTGTCGTGCCGTCTTGCTCTTGATACAGTATGGCACCTATTCCTGTACCACTGGCATCGCAGTGCAGAGTAAAAGGCTTTTCCCTGTCGGCAATAGCCACAATAGGCTCTTCGGTCAACGCATTCATTAGCGTTTCGAATGATTGC